AGGTTTGTTGGATCTTGTACACACAGATGTGTGTGGGCTGTTCAAACATGCCACAAGGGATGCTAATCGTTATTATTTGACTTTTACTGATGATTATAATAGATATGGATATGTCTACTTAATCAAGCATAAGTCAGAGACTTTCGAAAGGTTTAAAGAGTTTAAACAGGAAGTCGAGAATCAATTGGGCAGGAACATTAAGATGCTTCGATCCGATCGAGGTGGTGAGTATCTTAGGTCAGATTTCCTTGACTATCTTAGGGAATGTGCGATTGTCTCACAATTGACACCTCCCAGGACACCGCAGTTGAATGGTGTGGATGAGAGGCATAATCGGACCTTGTTGGACATGGTTCGTTCCATGATGAGTCGAGCTTCGCTACCAATCTCATTTTGGGGGTATGCCTTAGAGACTGCCGCCCATATCCTTAATCTAGTCCCTACAAAGAAAGTTGCCAAAACTCCTCATGAGATGTGGACTAGTAAAGTACCCAAACTAGACCACAAAAAGATTTGGGGTTACGAGGATTTCGTGAGATGCGAGACTCATGATAAGCTCGAACCTCGAAGTGAGAGGTGTATTTTCATCGGCTACCCACAGCAATCCTTTGGTTACCTCTTCTACAGACCTAATGAAAATGTGGTCTTTGTAGCTAGGAGGGTGTTCTTTCGAGAAAGAGAGTTCATAAGCCAAGGAAACAGTGGGAGGCAATTTGACCTTGAAGAAATTCAACTCCTTTCTCAAGTAGAGTTTTGCATGTTCAACTCCTTTGTCTCAAGGGAGAACACTAACATCAATGATGATGACATTCTATCTGAATTAGAAGAAGAAATAAATGTCGAGTCGGATCCCACTTATGATCCAAATTACCCACCTCTTATCAAATGGACCAAAGATCACCCTCAAAGTCAAATTATCGGAGAATCTTCAGAAAAGGTGTTAACTCGATCACAAATCAAAGAGAAACAAGATGCACTCTTTTCTCAAGTAGGGTATTTCATGTTCAACTCCTTTTTCTCCAAAGTCAAACCGAAGACCGTTAACTCTGCACTTGATCATTCTGACTGGGTTCAAGCCATGCAAGATGAGTTAAATGAGTTTGAAAGAAATAAAGTATGGCGTCTTATTCCAACTCCAAAGGATGCTTCGGTTGTTGGTCTCAAATGGGTATTCAGACACAAGATGTACAAGGAGGGAAATGTCATACATAACAAAGCACGACTGTTGGTCAAAGGCTACTGTCAGGAGGAAGGCATCGATTATGAAGAGACCTTTGCTCCAGTTGCAAGATTAGAGTATGTTTGTATATTTCTAGCCTATGCAGCTCACAAGAACTTTGAAGTCTATCAGATGGACGTCAAATGTGGTTCTCTCAACAGGGAACTTGAAGAGACTGTATATGTTGAGGAACCGCCAGGTTTCGTGAACGAAAAGTATCCATATCATTGTTACGTCATTGACAAAGTGGTATATGGCTTAAAAGAAGCTCCTAGAGCATGGTATGAAGCTATGACTCGATTCTTAAAAATGTCTAAATTCAAACAAGGTTCGGTTGACCCAACCTTCCTTCGTAAGAGAGAATGTAACCACCTTATGATAGTGCAAACTTATGTTGATGACATCATCTTTGGCTCCATGAATTCTTGCTTAATACCTGAATTTAGGAAGTTGATGGAAACTAAATTTGAGATGAGCACAATGGGTCCAATTAACTTTTTCTTTGGATTAAATATTAGACAGGAACCCAAAGGCATTTTTATTAATCAAGAGGCATACACCAAGACTCTATTGACTAAGTTTGGTATGATGAGTGACTCCAAAGTTAAAGTACCAATGGCCTTTGGGACAAAGCTTACACCCTCCCTGGAAAAGCCAACTACAGATATGACGCTGTATCGTCAAATGATCGGTTCTTTAATGTATCTTACTGCCAGTGGACCTGACATCATGTTTTCAGTCTGTTACTGTGCAAGATTTCAAGCCAACCCATGCGAACCTCATCTGCAAGCTGTGAAAAAAATCTTTCGCTATCTGAAGCGAACCTCCTCTCTCGGTCTGTGGTATCCAGCCAACTCATGATTCTTTGTTCAAGCATTCTCAGATGCTGACTTAGGTGGCTGTGGCCTAGATCGTAAGAGCGCCACTGGAGGATGTTAATTTCTAGATGGAAAATTGGTTAGTTGGCAATCGAAGAAACAAACTTGTGTTTCTCTCTCCACTGCAAAAGCTGAATACATTGTTGCAGAATCATGCACATCTCAAGTGGTATGGATACAAAGTTAGCTTAGGGATTCTAGGCTAAATATGAAGAAAATCCCACTATATTGCCACTCTGAAAGCGCAATTAGGATTTTTCACAACCCAGTGCAACACTCGAAGACCAAGCATATAGCACTGAGATTTCACTTTATCAAAGATCACGTCGAAGACGGCAACGTAGAAATCCATTTCGTCCAAACAACTGATCAATTGGCTGATATATTCACTAAGGCTTTACCTGAAGCAAGCTTCAACAAGATTCTACAAGGCCTAGGAATGATGGAAGCATAATCAGTGCCCAAATTGCCTTCACTTCAATAAAGGTTAGAAGCGAAATAGAGCGAACCGAAATGAACCGAATGTTTGGTCTATTTCGGGTTCGGCTCAACCAAGAACCGAAATGAACCGAGCGTTCGGTCTATTTCGGGTTTGGTCCTTCTGAACTTATTTGCTTTTTTTTTCTTCCAAGGCATTTTCGCTGTATTCGTCTGTACCCTCCTTTTTAATTCCATTTTATTAATAAAAACCAAATATATTTTTCTCTTTCGTTCAATTAAATATCTTTCACAAAACACAAAAATATTTTTTTTAATTTTTTTTCTAATACTTTTCTTTGTATAAGTGTAATTCTCAATGGTGGAGCTCAAGCAGGTATATCTATTTTATTTTATCCCATTAGTTAGGTGTCCCTAGAAGCATGTTGTTGTATGTTGACTAAACCCTCGAAAGATTTTGAGTAAAGCCTTAATAACATGATATATACAAATCGGGTTTTCCCAATTCAGGATGTACTATTCACTCTAATCATAAGCTACCTTACTCTACTCACATTGAGTTCAGAGTTTTCTGCTTGGTCACACTTTTTCTTTAGAGGAGGGGTAGATTCGCTTCCTATACCATCTCCACTATTTCTCTCCATTATACTTCGTATCACCAATATAACCTGTGAGACTCTCAACATTTACCACTGAGGTTTATGGTTATACAAAATCTGTGTTAATGATCTTAGTCTCATGCCACTATGTACTAAGTGAAACCCACAATTCAACACCATAAATGAATTGACAGTGAATTCTCATATTCAAGAGCTTACTTGTTACCTAATGAAATCTCTTTTTATTTTTGAGTGATCTTTAATGAATTTGTCTAAAACCAAGGCTTTTCTTCCCTTAAAGATCCAGTTTATTTTTTTGAGATTTCTATACTTCCTTTTGTCACTATAAAAGATATCATACCTACTTGTTCAACAGATCACAATGATCTCACAAGTACTTCATTCAGTTTCGGTCTCATGTCGAGTATCGAAATTATGAATTGAAGCGAAAGTCACCCTTTATAACCTTTATAAGATGCTTTTCAATACTTCATAACAAATTATTGATCGTTATTTAATGGGAAACCAAGCAAGCACTTCAATGTCTCTCTTGACTTTGAAGGAAGTGATTCATGCCCATAATCCATTGTTTTATGTCTATTTAAGGCATCACAGATTATCCCAAAACATCTGCTTTATTTCTTTATCTTTCACACTCTATGCACAAAAATTTTAATTTTCCACACTCTGGTTCTTTTAATGGTGTTCAATAAAGCATCACAGGCAACGACGATTCAAATGTTTTAGGAGTGACGATTTAGATAAAGTGGAAGCTTACTCACCGTTTATCCAATCGGTTTGTTGAGTTGAAAAAGCGAAATTTATGGAATGGCGTGCCAAAAAGGAAACGTCCTTTCTCTTTCCTGTGTCATCATCGGTATACCAACTGTTCATCCGTCAAGTCAGGCGCTATTTTTGAAAAATCCATGATCTTAGTCGGATTTTTCTCTCTCCTCCTTGTACATATAAAAGGGATTCGAACGGTACTCTTTAAAGTTTATCACTTCCCAAATTCTCTCAAAGAACAACAACGATCTCTCTTATTGTTCATCATCTTCTTCAGGCTACTACAATGGCAGACTCTTCGTTCGTTCATGATACTTCCATTCGTCAACCACTTCTCACAATCAAACCCCAACTGAACCTGATCATCGATCTCACTCCGTTTGTGTATGAGCCTTACATGATATACGTTGTTGAGTGTCTCAAATACTCACCTCTCATCTAAGCGCTCACCAAAGTTGAAGTCGTACCAATGTCGTTCCTTTCTGTTGTCTACTCCACTGCCTACTATAAACAAGGTTCATGAAAGGATTCACTTCGAAATCCACAATGAGAAGACCTCTATCTCCAAGCACCGCTTCTATGCCCTAATTGGTCTTTCTCAAGAACAATCTCTGGTAAATACTGAATCCAATACCACTGGTCAATTCTTTTCTATGTTTTATCAGATGGTATATACCGAAACTCTCACCACAATCACAAAGTTCAAGAAGTCCTGCCTTCCTCCTCAATGGAATGGCCTTTTCACTTTTTCTGTTCAAGGGACTCTCTGAGCGAAGCGCTGGCTCAGATGGTGCAAGCAAGTCTTTTATGACTGTGCTATATGGGTTGTACCATGGGATCAACTTGGATTTTGGAACTATCATCTGGCAGCAATCGGTACAAAGCTTGGTCTCTTCATCCAGGCACTATGAGATCTCATGTGGGCAATTTTGGTCAATCATCACCAACTGGGCAATGGACCCGCTTCATGTTCCAATCATGGCAGACTCTTTTCTCTCCTCCATTGCTACCTTTCACACAGCCAAAATTATTGTCATCGATCCCACCAAGTACTCATTTACTGGATCTATTCCGGAAGCTATGCTTGCTCCTATATCTGCGTCGAGTAACGTTATCCAACAATACAGGAAGCATCCATCTTCAGGTCCAAGGGAGCTTACCCCAACCATGGTTCGCTCTATTGATGAGGCTGACAAACCTGCTAAAAGGGGCAAGAAACCTGAAACCCACAAAGAGGCACAAGTTTCCAAACCAACCAAAGGGAAAACCCCTAAGAAGCGAAAGTCTGATAAGGCTGTTACATCACCTCCTCAACCGAAGAAGCTGGAGAACCCCGCTATGAGGCTAATAGTACAATCCTCGAGTGACTTAGATTCAGAGGATGTTCCTCCCCAACATAAGATTGCTCCTCCTTCAGAATCTGAGAGCGAAAGCTCTGATGATGAGGCTTCGGGCCAAGGTGATACTCCGCGTCGCTCCCCTACCCTGAAAATTCTAGTTCGCTCTCACCCTCCTTCACCTCCACGTGTAACCATCCCAATATCTATCCCTCCTATTTTTCCCATTCCAACCACTCAACCTTTCACTACAATTCCCATCCATTTCTTGTGTCGAAGACTAGGAAGATGAATAACCCCTCCCATAAATATTTGTTCCCTTCAATTATCTGTTCTATTTTGTGTTTACTTTTGTATAGGATCTAGCCGAAGTCCATTGTATTAGACTCAAATGCATTTTATGACATTTTAATCTGCCAATAGAAACATAATAACATCACCCCAATTTTTTATAAAAAAACAAAAACAAAGAAAGAAAGGGTCAAGTAAAATAGTCTTCTTCAAAATCTACATACTGTGGCTAGGAATGTGGTACAAGGAATTCCCGACATCTCGTAGAAAAAGAGTATAAACAAACAAAAGGCTTTTTAGAATTTTACTTTTTATCATAGATAATCATACTTACTAAAAAAAATTTGGTTCTTTTTACAAACTTGAGGTCGATAAATCCGCGAGTCTAAAAATTCATTTCGGACAATTGAACCTTCTCGAACTGTTTCTTTTTAAGAACCAAAAATATTTGTGCCAAAATAATAGATGCTAAGAAGAACAAAAGGCCTTGTACATGTATTGGATCTTGAAGTACTATTTTTTCATCTCCGTGACCAAATCCGCCCACATTAGGATTACTTGTCAACGACTGCTCAAATTTGATAGATTCGCCTTCTGAAACAAGAAGTTCTAGCCCCGGAGGGATAATATCAACCAATTAACGTCCATCCGATGCATCCGCTATGGTAATTTCGTATCCCCCCTTTTCTTTTCGTAGGATTTTTCTTACTATACCGGATGCTGTAGCATTATAAACTGTATTGATACTCTTGCTCCTGTCAGGATAAATCTGGCCCCTTCCCCTGTTTCCGCCTACGTATATATGATATTTTAAGAAGTGAATGTTTTTCTTAGCAGCGGGGTCCGGCGAAAGAATAGGAAACGTGATTTCACTATATTTCTGACCAGGAACAGGGCCTATGACAATAATATTTTTTTTGATTTGGGTGATAGCTTTGAAAAGATAGATTGCCCATCTTTTCTTTTATCTCGGGGGAAATACGATCGGGAGGGGCTAATTCAAAACCCTATGGTAAAATAAGAACAACCCCCACATTTAAAGCCCCTTTTTTTACCATTAGCAAGAACTTCTTTCAGTTGCATATCAGAAGGAATTCGAACAACTACTTCAAATACAGTATCGGGAAGTACTGTTTGCGGAACCTCAATATCCACCGGTTTATTAGCTAAATGGCAATTGGCGCATACAATACGTCCAGTCACTTCTTGTGGATTTTCATAGCCCTTTTGTGCAAAAATGGGATATGCATTTGAAATGGATACATGAGTTATGATATATATCATGAGTGATATGGAAATAGATCGAGTAATATGTTCCTTTATCCAAGAAAATTTATTTCTAGTTTGCATGGTCCAACCATTTGTGACAACCCGAAACTTCTAGCCATGTAATTGATCTGTGTTCAGCACCAAAACTCGAGTTCATTATCTTTTGTTACGTCTTGTGGTTCCATTTGAGTGCTCTAGACTTAGTATAACCTGGATATAAGCTATAGGAAAGGTTGGAAAGTGCTTAAGTATCACAAAATGGGACCAAACACACCAAATAATGTGTGTGCGGCCGCACACCCAACCGCACACACACTCAACCTCACATTCAAACCCTTATATGGATGGATACCCCTTCATTCATTCATTTGGATGTTTCTCTTCAAAAGTCATCAAATGGACTCAAATGAGGAGTGTACGGCCGCACACTCCTGTGTACGGCCGCACACACCCTCTGAATGGCCGCACACTCTTGTGTGCTGCCTCACACACACTCCTGGCCGCACACCCCAGCCGCTCACTCCTTTTCAAGGCCCTACACTCACTTTAACGCCCACATTTGGCCTTAAACTTGCATAAATCTTTAAGTCTGGATCCTAGGGAACTTATTCTTAGTAATTCCAAGCCCTAAGGATGTTTTCCTATCATGTTAGTCATGAAACACCTAAATTGTAACTCACCTATGTGTTATCACGTGAATAATAGGGGCCATAGGCGTTCAGGGCATCCGTTGACACTCGAACCCTACAGTAAGCGGTGAGTTCATACCCCTACCCTTTTTCACTATTTTCACTGTTTTCAGGGGGGGAACACAAGCAAAGTACAAGAGGTTTCTTGTACTCAAAACTTGTTTTCAAATATGTGTTTCACGTTTTATATGCTTTTAACACTGATTACTACCACTGATAACCGTTTGAACATGCAGATCACGTAATCATATATTTGTGAAATGGGTTTTAAACTGCTATGTTTTACATATATTTCAAAAATGGCTTTCCATATTTTATCAGTTAATAGCATGACATTAGACATTTGAACATAATACCTGTACACTGTTTTGTCCTCGGTAACACTCCACGGAAATATGCGAGTGGAGGACTATCATATTATTACTAGTAAATTTGTTAATCCGTATGATTGGAGACACATCCTCGGAGAACACTCCACAGAGATACGCGAGTGGAGGACTACACCGTAACCAAAATCTTTGGATTTAGAGAGCGTGACTTGAGTGTATAGATCTATACGGGGCTGACTACCCTACACCTGGCTGCTAGCTACAGTCGAACCAAAAGGTTCAACGGTGACGAGAGTCATAAGGTGATGTGGACTACTTATTGCCACATTTAGTCTATTGTATGGTTATGGAACTCGCAATTCGGATAACATAGATTTACTCTATAGTAATAATGAATAACGTAATACATCTTTTACATTGATAATCAACAGTCAGGAAAGTATGGGACTTTCCTGGGGAAACATTTTCATAACTAGAAAAGGGTAACAAACTGGATAACTTTACATCTTTCACAATTGGTAAAACATAATCAGTAAAGTATGGAACTTTACTGGGAATACATTCGTACCTAACCAGAATAGTATATCCAACTAGATAACCTAACTGTACATTTTCACTAGGGTAAACATGTTTTCAGTATACCACTTTACTTTACATGTTGAGAAACAACAACCAACCTTTTTAAGAAAATATGGGATTTTCTTGGTGTGCATAACATGTCAGAAATAGAAAGGAAACTCAACATTTTCATAAAACAAAAACCGCTTATGAACTCACCAGCATTATGCTGATTTTGAAATCGCTTGTGTTCTCAGGTCATCATTAGAACAAGTATCCGAAGATCATTTTGTTCCAGGTTGGAATGCGCAGAAGATCAGTTCATTTTGTTAATATATACTATGTATCACAACTGAATAACTTTACTTTTGTAACAATTGCAAAATTTTTCAATATGTAATGTATGGTTGTTCTACTTTACTTAATATGTGCATTGGATTTGATACTCAACATGGAGTCAACCCCGAAAATGTTTCCGCCTTCGGTTTTCGGGGTGTGACAGATTGGTATCGGAGCCCTTGTTTATAGTGAATAAAGTATACCTAACCTTACATGGTATAAAACTATAAACACTAAAGTGTCTAAGTGCTCTGAATTAAAAGTATCATCAAACTATAAGTATTTTCAAAAATATACATGTATACCGAACCGTCGAGATCCGTAATTACAAGTACAACAAAACATAAGTAAATGGGTGTTGTGTGCTGCGGTTAAACCTGGGCAGTTATGTAGTCGTGTCTAGGATCAATATGGCCTGGCCAACTATATTCATTCGAGACACGGCCAACATGTGTTTGGGAGTGACTGTGGTATGCGGCATGCCTAAAACTTACCCTAATATCACAAACATCGAGCCAGTGTCGTCGCGAATCGTGAAATACTATGGGAGTATTTCTCGAGTCAATCCTTTGTAGAAATCCTCGTTCACATATAGATCCTTGATCATTCTGTTAGCGATAGTTTACCTGCTTTGATAGCTCTTTCCTGCTTTATCGCTTATTCGATATATATATATATATATATATATATATATATATATATATATATATATATATATATATATCTATCATATCTATCGATTCGATTCAGAGGACTTATCATCCTCACTTTTCTTGATCTTATTAGACCAAGATGCTTCCAAGAAAGAGACCCAGCTCCAAGACCAACAATCCTCCTCCGGCACCACCTCCTCCTCAATTTGACCCTGTAATGTTCCAGGCAGCTGTTACTGCCGCAGTAGCAGCCGTCATGTCTCAAATGAACCCCGGTGGTTCAGAAGGTGGTCACCAACCCCAAAACCAAGAAAATAGTCAGGGACGCCGAAAGGAGGGTTCCTATAAATATTTCATGAACGCAAAACCTACATCTTTTAATGGCACTGGAGGTGTCATTTCCCTTTCCCGATGGTTCGAGAAAATCGAATCTATCTTCGAAATCTGTGCTTGTTCATAATCTGATAAAGTAAAATTCGCAGCCTGTACCTTCATTGATAAAGCTTTGACTTGGTGGAATGGCCGAGTCAAATCCTTGACCCTACCTGTAGCCAATGCCATGGTTTGGGAAGCCATGAATGAACTCCTGTTAGCTAAGTACTACCCTAGGGGCGAAATGCAGAAGTTAGAGCACGAGCTCTGGAACCTGAAGATGAAGGGTTCTGATATTGTCGCATGCACTTCAAGATTTGATGACCTGGCACTACTCTGCCCGAGATTGGTTACCCCGGAGAGTAAGAAGATAGAGAAGTTCATTTGGGGGCTGACCCAACCAACTAAGGGAAACGTTTTAGCTGCACGTCCGGATACCTATGATAGTGCCAAGAGCTTAGCCCAAACCCTAATTGATCATAGTGATGATGTCAAAGAAGCCACCACCACTCCTGAGCAGACCAAGAATAGTGGTGAGAAAAGGAAGTTTTGGAAGAAGAAGAAGGGCTAATCTTCTCAAGGATCCTCAAAGAAACAACAGACTGTAGCAGTCCATGCTACTACTGTCCCTATTGTTGCTGCTTCTGTTGTGGGATCTACCGCTCAAACATCTATTAGAAAATATGATGGTAACCTTCCCCTGTGTGACAAGTGCAAATACCACCATAACCCGGGCCCCTGCCGTGATCTATCATGTACCAATTGTGGTAAGAAGGGACACGCAATCCGATTCTGCAAAGCTCCAGTCCAGTCAACCAATCAATCTTTTGGAGCAGGTGTTGGTCAAGCCTGCTATAACTGTGGAGAGGTTGGGCACTATAAAAGGAATTGCCTCAAGAAATCAACAGCTGATAATACCAGGAGAGTCCGAGTCATAGGATGGGAAGAAGCAGTCGCCGATCCCACTGTAGTCTCGGGTACGTTCCTTCTCGACAACTCATATGCTAGTATTCTTTTCGATTCGGGTGCTGAAAGAAGTTTCGTTAGTCATTCGTTCAAACATAACCTAAAACATAATCCTCACCCTTTAACTGAAACGTTTACTATCGAGATGGCTAACGGTGAGAAAGAAAATGCTAATGACATATTCATAGGTTGTACCCTTACCTTGAATGATCATTCATTTCCCATCGACCTTATGCCAGTCTCTATTAAGAGCTTTGATGTTATCATTGGCATGGATTGGTTGATCCCCAATCATGCCGATATTCTTTGCTACAAAAAAGCCATCCGTCTCAACCTTCCTTCAGACCAGACTCTCATAATCTACGGCAATAAACTCAGTTCCAATCTTCGCATCATTTCCTGCATCAAAGCCCAGAAACTCTTGCGAAAGAAATGTCAAGCATTCCTAGCCCATGTAATCAATGAGAAAAAGGAAATTAAAAACCTCGCGAGCATCCCCGAAGTCTGTAACTTTCTTGATGTCTTTCTAGAAGAGCTTCCAGGAACTCCTCCCGAACGTCAGGTCGAATTTCACACTGACCTAATTCCTGGAGCTACCCCAGTAGCAAAGTCTCCGTATCGCTTAGCTCCAGCAAAAATGCAAGAGTTATCCAGCCAACTCGATGAATTACTCAGCAAAGGGTTCATCAGACCAAGTTCCTCACCCTGGGGAGCTCCGGTTTTATTTGTAAAGAAGAAAGATGGATCCTTCCGGATGTGTATCGACTACCGTGAGTTGAACAAGTTGACCGTTAAGAACTGATATCCTCTTCCAGGAATAGATGACCTCTTCGATCAACTTCAGGGAGCCGTCTGCTTCTCAAAGATAGACCTTCGGTCAGGGTACCATCAGCTACGAGTTCAGGAGAGTGATGTTTCCAAAACAGCTTTCAGGACTCAATATGGACACTATGAGTTCGTAGTGATGCCCTTCGGTCTAACCAATGCACCGGCTGTGTTCATGGACCTGATGAACCGGGTGTGTCGTTCCTTCTTAGACAAGTTCTTCATCATGTTCATTGACGACATCCTCGTCTACTCTCGGAGAGAAGAAGACCACAAACAACACT